GTTCAATAAATAGTCTTTTAAATTAAAGATAATAAAATTGGGGGAATTTCCTTTCTTAATTTGGGTACTTCCTTGTCTAATGTTACAATGAAATAAAAAAAGAACATCTATTGTTAATAATAATGATGATTATAATAATAGCTGGCACTTACTGAGCACTGTTCCAAGTATTACGTCTTTACATCAACCTAGGAGCTGATGCTTTTATTATCTTAGTTTTATAGATGAATAAGGCACATAAAGGCTAACAGCTTACCCGAGTTATACAGCTAGTAATCAAGTGATACCAAAATCATTAGCCACTCCTAGTGCTCTTTATATAAGGTAGAAAGAAAAAGGGAAAAAGAACAAATTAGCATAAAACATAGTGCTAGAGGCCTCCTCTACAAATGGCCATAATAGCTGCCTTCTCCTATTACTTATTCCATGTTCCCCTTACCCAGAGTTGGGCAGAGCCCTATGCCTGGTACGGAGACCCAAAACTTTATTCCTGTAGGACCTGAGTTCTTGGCATTTGCTTTATCTGGTTGCTGTACTTTCCCATTAACCAGGTTTTTGGGACAAGGGCACACTAAGATGTGCCCCTGGTAAATCCTTGGGCTCCAGACGTTGTCTAGCAGGGCCATTTTCCACTTGGTAATTGTACCAATCACACAGGCTAATTCAGTGACAGTCCTAGCTGGGGCTGCTCCAACAAAGTACCATAGACAGGGTGGCTTAACCAACAGACATTTATGTCTCATAGTTCTGCAGTTCTGGGGCTGAAAGTCTGAGATCAGGGTGCCAGCATGGTTGGGGTTCTGATGAGAGCTCTCTTCCTGGCTTGCAGAAACCTCCTGCTGTATCTGACAGAGAGAGAAAGGAAGAGAGAAAGAGAGAGAGACTCCATCCTTATGACCTCATCTAAATATTACTTCCCAAAGGCCCCCCCCTCACATCATAACATTGTGAGTTACAGCTTCAATATATAGATTTTGGGGGCGCCTGTGTGGCTCAGTCGTTAAGCGTCTGCCTTCGGCTCAGGTCATGATCCCAGGGTCCTGGGATTGAGTCCCACATCGGGCTCCCTGTTCGGCGGGGAGCCT